AGGTGTGTGGCTTTTATTTTCCGCGCGGTATTGAGCGCCCATTCTGTCGAGCGCCTGAGCACGCGCCTCCCTAATGGGAGGACCTTGGGGTCGGCTCCCTGGGCCCCAGGCAGGTCGGGAGCGGGAGCAGATACTGGTTATGGATCACCCCACCATCCCACCCACACCCCTCCATACTCAGAGAACCAGCCCTTCGTGCCGCTTTCTTGTAGAGGGAGGGGCAGGTCCAGGGAATCCACACGGGATTTCAGACACCGTAATAGAGAATTAAAAATCACCAATCCGAATCCCAGCGCCACGAGTAATTAGCTGTGGGACTTTAGGGGCGTTGCTTATGTTTTCAACCCCCCATTTTGGTAGCCGTACCTATAGAATTATTGCGAGAGAATTTAATCCTCACAAGACCCTGTGCAGAAGGTTCTGTTATCTCCATTTATAGACGAGGAAACAGTCCTGGTGTATCATACAGATGACTTGCCAGAGATCCCGTGGCTGGAAAAGAGCAAAACAGATTTGAATCCAATCGGTCTGCCTCCAGAATCCAAGCTCTAGACCAGCGGTTCTCAACCTGTGGGTCGCGACCCCTTTGGGGGTCGAACGACCCTTTAACAGGGGTCGCCTAAGACTATCGGAAAACACATACATATTGTTTTTGTGATTAATCACTATGCTTTAATTATATTCAATTTGTAACAATGAAAATACATCCTGCATATCAGATATTTACATTACAATTCATAACAGTAGCAAAATTACAGTTATGAAGTAGCAACGAAAATAATTTTATGGTTGGGGGTCACCACAACATGAGGAACTGTATTAAAGGGTCTCGGCATTAGGAAGGTTGAGAACCACTGCTCTAGATGCTAATCCAGTCGCTAGGCCTGAAGGAGGAAGCAGGGAATGACTGGGGCTCTGCTTGGTGGGCAGACAGGGTTTTGGTACCAGAGGGAGGAGATTTTGCAGGTATTGGAAACGGGGAACTCGAGGAGTAGTGAATAATGAGACGGAATAGACGGAGTGGAGGCACAAACTTCTCCAGGGGGCAGTTTGGTTCAGGTTGGGCATCTTTAATGAAGGGGAACTAACCAGGCCGGCATGTTTTACAAATGAAGAAACCATTGCTCAAGGAGGTTAGGAATTTGCCGGGTATAACACAGCCAGTGGCCTCACTTCACCGTGGTTGTACCTGCACCGCTTCCTCCGTTCTGTCATTGCAGAGCAGCTTTAGTCACTCGTGGGTTTCTGATCCAGAAAGGTGCAGTTTAGGGTGCACTTACTCAGCACCGGTGACACAGAGATGTACGAACCAGGCTTAGGAAAGGGAAGATTGTACAGATTTGAATCCATGTGAAGAACTAACATGTTGTAATGGAACTTTGGGTGCTTCTCTTTTTAAAAGCGTTTTTGGGAAATGTGGGATGGTTAAGACTTGAGAATGGTCACAGAAAGTTTGCTGATTGGCTCCTGTTTCTTAATGCCATTAATAAATTGTGCGTTTGTATATGTTTTCAGGTATATGGGACAGATTGCTCATCAACCCCAAGCCTAATTCCAGAAAGAATTCCAGTCTTCAAACAGTTCGGATAGAGAGGAGTCCCTGTAAGTATCCTTTCCCCTCCCTCTCTTCCTCTCTCAAGTCTGTGCACAAGGATAGGATTCCTTACATATTCTCCTGCTCTAAGACAGTAATAACTTTTCCCAGAAAAACTTTGTGGGATGAATTTTTGGAAATCAAAATTAATGTGTGGTGATTGCAGGGGGGAGGGGTGTGGGTGAGGTAGAAGAGATATAGTGGGATGGAAAAAAAATATTAAATTATTATTGTTAATCTCTGGAAAATTTTTTTAGAGGTTATTGAGCCCAAATTTAATACACATGTATGAGAAAACACCACCACATTCTGTTAAATTGAACACAATTATTTAAATGGTAAATGTTACTCGTAACATGACATAACAGCCAATTCTGGTCATTAATTGCTCCATAGGATTGCTGTACCACACACTCATAAGTACATACCACACTCAGACTTTATTCATATAACATCGGTAATTCACTTAAAAAAGTTTTTTTTAATTGATTTCAGAGAGGCAGGGAGAGGGAGAGAGATGAAACATTAGTGATGAGAGAGATTCATTGATCGGCTGCCTCCTGTACACCCTCCCCTGGGGATGGAGCCTGCAGCCCCGGGTATGTGCCCTGACCAGAAATTGAACCGTGACCTCTTGAGCCACATCAGCGGGCTTGCCCTTTCTTGACTTTTACCACCATTTTCTTTTCTCCTGCTCTCTGGACATGTATCACTTGTTGTGTAGCTGTGTCAGTGACTATGTTTTGAGAGCTAGTGATGTGCTGGGCCTCACAAGAGTAAGAAACTATTATCCCGTTTGTTGACTGCCCTGCTCATAGCACAATGCCTGGCTGTTATCACCCCTCTTTTACAGATGAGTAAACTGAGGTGTCCAGTGATTAAAATAAATGTATTAGTTAGGACTCCTGTTACTATAAATGACTAAAATCCAACTCAGATTTCCTTAAGTAGGAAAGAAAGAAACAAAAACAAGAAAGAAAGAAGAGGGAGGGAGATAGAAATAGAGAATGAGGGAGGGAAGGAGGCAAAGGAAAAGAGTAGGGAGGAAAGGGGAGGGGAAGGGATGAGGGAGAGAGGAAGGAAGGAAATTTTGTTGGCTCATTTTATTGGGTAAAACCCAGTGATTTCAGATACATCTGCATCCCGGTGCCTGGTATCATCAGGGGTCCTCTGCTCTGCATCTCAGCTCTTCTCTCCTAGGTGTTGGCTTAATCCAGAACAGGCTCTTCTCCCACCTCTAGCAAGCTGGCCAGTTTATCAGCAGCCCTGGGCTTAGATTCAGCAGCTCGCTCACTCACTCACTCAGAAGGAGGATTTTTTTCCCCCTCAACAGTTCAAACCATGTTTCAGGGTGATCTCTTACTGGTCTGACCAATTCATGGTGTCACTGTGTATGCCACTGAACCAACTCATGGTGGCCAAGGTTGCAGAGCATGTAGGCACATCCAGGGTGAGGGGCAGGAGTGACTAAGAGTGACAGAGCTGAAAAGGGAAGTCAGGGTTATGTTATTAGAAGAAAGGGGAATAGATGTTGGACAGGTAAAAACAAACACTAATTTACATGCCCACGGCAATTCAGATAGTCAGGGGTGGAACTGGGATTCCATTAATAACCTTGTTGGTCTGCCACCACACCTGGTGCACTTAACTATTAAGTCATAGGGCCTCCTCATTATTATTTGTTGAATGCCAGCCTTCTAGGACAGTGGTCGCCAACCGGTGGTCCGTGAGGTCCTAAAGGTTGGCAACCGCTGTTCTATGAGGTTATAGCGCTGGGGATATATGAAAACCCCAAATTATTGGTAAATAATTGCTGAATTGTGTTTGTCATAGGACCGGCCGGGATGGGTCAGTAATTGAGTATTGACCTATGAACCAGGAGGTCATAGTTCAATTTCGGTCAGGGCATATGCCAGTATTGTGGGCTAGATCCCAAGTAGGGGGTGTGCAGGAGGCAGCTGATCAATGATTCTCCCTCATCATTGATGTTTCTACCTCTCTCTCTCTCCCTCTACCTTTCCTCTCTGAAATCAATAAAAATATATATTTTTAAAAAGGAATTCAGAAGAGGATGGGGGTTTTAAAATGAAAGGAATATGAAAAATTATTATTTTATTACTATTAAATTCACAAATGTTTTAGAGAAAATTCTGGATTTTACAATTTGAACTTTGGGCAAATACTAATGTAAGTATTGATAAACTATATTTTCTCTCTTTAGTATTGGACCAGGTACAGACCTTTCTCCCACAGATGGCTCAGGCGAATGAAAAGCTAAGAAAAGAAATGGCAGCTGCACCACCTGATCATTTCAATATTGAAAATATTGATGAGACTCTTGGAAACATTATACAAATGGTAATTATACTTAGTTTTCATTTCAGATAGTAAAATTACCAGTGTGCCTCATCACCTAAAAAGAGGGAGAACTTTTCCATTTTCATTTTTTTTTAAATTTTGTTTTATTGCTTAAAGTAGTACAAAGAGTATTATATATGTCTCCTTATTTTTCTCCCCTTGACCCTCCCCTAGCCTCCCATGCCCTCCAGTGTCTTGTGTCCATTGGTTATGCTTGTATGTGCATACAAGTCCTTCCATTGATCACTTACCCCACTCCCACCCCCCAACCCTCCCCAGCCTTCCCGCTGTAGTTTGACAGTCTGTTCGATGTTGTTCTTCCTCTGTATCTATTTTTGCTCATCAGTTTCTAATGGTTTTTATTATCCATAAATGAGTGAGATCATGTGGTATTTTTATTTCATTGACTGGCTTATTTCACTTAGCATAATGCTCTCCAGTTCCATCCATGCTGTTGCAAATGGTAAGAATTCCTTCTTTTTTACAGCAGCATAGTATTCCATTGTGTAGATGTACCACAGTTTTCTAATCCATTCATCTACTGATGGGCACTTAGGCTGTTTCCAGATCTTTGCTATGGTAAATTGTGCTGCTGTGAACATAGGGATGCATATATCCTTTCTGATTGGTGTTTCTGGTTTCTTGGGATATATTCCTAGAAGTGGGATCACTGGGTCAAATGGGAGTTCCATTATTAACACATATATGTATTTTTATTGATTTTTTACAGAGAGGAAGGGAGAAGGATAGTTAGAAACATCGATGAGAGAGAAATATCGACCAGCTGCCTCCTGCACACCTCCTACTGGCTATGTGCCCGCAACCAAGGAACATGCCCTTGTCCAGAGTCGAACCTGGGACCTTTCAGTCCGTAGGCCGATGCTCTATCCACTAAGCCAAACCGGTTTGGCCATTTTTAACTTTTTGAGGAAACTCCATACTGTCTTCCATAGTGGCTGCACCAGTCTGCATTCCCACCAGCAGTGCACGAGGGTTCCCTTTTCTCCGCATCTTCTCCAGCACTTGTCGTTTGTTGATTTGTTGATGATAGCCATTTCCATTTTCATTTCACAGTTACTTTTCTTCCTGGTAAGTCAGCTCATGTTTTTAGTACTGCATAGGTGCTTGGTCATTTTAATGATTAAGGATCTTATATATAGGTTAGTAAGCTTCCCTGGGTGAAGTTGAGGGATTAAATAATACAGAGTCATAGGAGGGCTTTTCCAAGTCATATATTTGTTATCTTGAAGCATTCATTCAGTAAATGTCCTAACTGGGTTTTTCTTTTCTTTTCCATCCCAGGCCCAAGGAGGTAATCATAGTCTGATCCATTGAAAATTCAAAAGTTAATGATATGTTTAACAGAATACATTATCTCACAGAACACATTACATAAGACACGTGTGAAAAGGGTCTCAATTTAGACTCAGGTCTTATTTCTGCACTGGAATTCTAACAGTTGTGTCTCGACAGAGCTGACACCATTGTGGGTAATATCTAATTCGTCAGCAAATCTGGTCAGCTCTACCTCCAGAATATATCCCAAATCCAACTGCGTTGCATGAGCTCCTCTCCTGCTGCCCCTGGTCTAATAATCACAGTCTCCCCTTGGGACTCTGGGAATAATTTCCCAACAGGTCTCCTTGCTCTCACCCTTTCTTCCCTAGAGTCAGTTCTTCACAGTGTGTGTGGCCCACCGTTTGGGAAGCGAGGGCCTTCCCGTCTCATTTCTAATCAATTCCAAGTCCTTCCAGGCCTGTGCGATCCTGCCTCCCGCTGTTCGCTGACCTTGCCTCCTGCCCAGTCCCCTCATTGTCTGCACTTGCACTTATTCCCCTGACTCCAGGCCTTTTCCCTCTTTGTAGAATGCTCTTCCCTGGATTTCTGCATCTTGACTCCCTCTGTCTCTTATTGTCACCTCTTCCAGTGACCCTATTGTTACCTTATTCTGGTTTATTTTTCTTTCTTTTCTCTATCCCGCACCATGCTGTATATGTAAGTGTTGCTTGTCTGTCTTTCCCTACTTGAACAGAGGTCAGCAAACATGTTCTGTAAGGGGCCAGATAGTGAATACTCTAGGCTCTGTGGACCACGCTATCTCTGTCCTGACCACTCACCTCTGCCGTTGTAGCCTGGAAGCAGCTGTAGATGAGACTTAATGAATAGGCAAGTTCTACTAACTTTACTTGTGGACACTGAAATTTGAATTCCATATAATTTTCATGTTTCATGAAATATTGTTCTTTTGATTTTTTTTTCTCTACCACTTAAAAATATAAAAACCATTCTTAGCTCATGAGTTAAACCAAGACAGGTAGCAGGCTGGGTTTGGCCTGTAGGCCGCCAATCCCGGCTCAAAAACATAAGCTCCACAAAGGCAAAGATTTTATTGTTATTGTTGAGTCTCCAGTACCTGGTGTGGTGCCTGGCTCACGTTAATAGTTGTTGAATAAAAGAGTGTATTCAGGACATAGAGAATTGGGTTATGGGGGCCTTTTTAGACTTAGAGTAAATGTAGATCATTATGGTGGACTCTGGCAATTAAAAGAACAAAAGCGCCATATTGTATTAAAAACATGTCCTTTATGCCTTGGCCAGTGTGCCTCAGTTGGTTGGAGCATCATCCCATGCACTGAACAACTGAGGGTTCGATTCTGGTCAGGGCACATACCCAGGTTGCAGGTTTGATCCCCAGTCAGGGTGCCAGGGTGCTTAGAGGAGGCAACCGACGGATGTTTCTTTCTCACATTGATGTTTCTCTCTCTCTCTCTCTCTCTCTCTCTCTCTCTCTCTCTCCCTCTTTTCCCTCCCCCCTGCCCCCTCTCCCTCTCTCTCCCTGTCCCTTCCTATTTCTCTAAAAAATCAATAAGAACATATCCTCGGATGAGAATTGAAAAAAACAACAACATGTCCATTGTGTTTCAATATTGTGCTAAATGTTGATTGTTCCCAATGTTTTTATTGTAACTTTTTAGGGAAATAAATTTCTCATGTGGTGTTTTTTGCAGGACGTGGCCTTGTTTGAGATGAATCAGTCTGATTCAAAAGACGAGGACAGTTCTGAAGAGAATTCACAGGACAGTTCCGAATCCGAGGACGAAGATGACAGCAGCTCTTCTGAAGTCACTGTAGATAACATCAAGCTTCCTCATTCAGAAGACGGAAAAGGCAAGATAGAAGTCTTGGACAGTCCTGCCAGTAAAAAAAAGAAACAGTGAAATAAATTATCCAAGCAGCAGGTGATCTACGCCTGCTAATTCTGTGAAAAAGAATGTGGCTTGCTGGTTATTTTGCATTTCAGGTAGATGGTGCTTTTATGTCACATTGGATGTGTTTTGTTTCTTGGAGAAACAGAAGCTGACTTTCAAGTAGTTGGAATAGGTAGCATTTGGGGATCTTCTAAGAGAAGTCTGTCTTTGACCTCATGCTGAAGAGATTCAGTTTAGAAAGCTTAACTATTTTGGGTGATGAGTGAATTTTTTGGCATCTTTTTTCTTCAGCATAGACTTCAGACTTGTCAAGCTTATTTTATTTTTATTTTCTTATTGATTTTTTTTTAATGTATTTTATTGATTTTCTACAGAGAGGAAGGGAGAGAGATAGTTAGAAACATCGATGAGAGAGAAACATCGATCAGCTGCCTTCTGCACATCTCCTACTGGGGATGTGCCCGCAACCCAGGTACATGCCCTTGACCAGAATCGAACCTGGGACCTTTCAGTCCGCAGGCCGACGCTCTATCCACTGAACCAAACCAGTTTCGGCTGATTTTTTTTTTAGAGAGGGAGAGGAAGGGAGAGAGAAACATTAATTCGTTGTTCCACTTATTTACGCACTCACTGGTTGATTCTTATATGTGCCCTGTCCCGGGATTGAACTGGCAACCTTGGCATATCAGGACGACGCTCTAACCAACTGAGCTACCTGGCTAGGGCTTCAAACTTACTTTAAATTAAAAATGTGAGTCACCTGTTCATTTTAAACTGTCTCAGATAAAACAACCTAGGTCAGTGGTCGGCAAACTGCTGCTCGCGAGCCACATGCGGCTCTTTGGCCCCTTGAGTGTGGCCACGAAGTTTCAATCGCACTGTACGTGCGCGCCCACATGTCGTATTTTGTGGAAGAGCCACACTCAAGGGGCCGCAGTTTGCCGACCACTGACCTAGGTGGATTTTTTTATTATAACATCAAATTTATTTCTTAGCATCAAAGTGGGGGAGAAATTTTTAAGAGAAATCCTTTTATAATAAAAAGAATTACCTAGATTTAGCTGCCCTCAGGCATATCTCCTTATTTAAAAATATATTTGTTTCCAGTTTGAGCTGGGAAGCTGGTTCTCTGTGGGTTTAATCACTGTCGGTACCTCTGCAGCCACTCAATGGCTATAAAGTGTACTGGTTGGAAAAATTCATGTTTTGTTGTTGTTGTTTTTCTTTTTTTCATAAAGCAAATGTTTTTTCTCAGCTACACAGTTGCTCATGGTTTGAAACCTATCAAATGTAGAAACTAGGGACACTGCAGGAAAAAACAGGGCACAGAATAAAAGACAGGTAACAGCTGTTTTCTCATTCAAAGGCAAAAGCGGTCCACTGAAGTGGACTTTCTGCTTCATTCTTGACCTTGTTAAACTGTTTCAGAGCTCATCAGCCATGGGGCTGGCTTTGCTGAGGATATGGGTATTTTGTCCTCTAATGTTCTAGAGCTTTCTTTTAAATATTTTTCTCTTATTCCTCACACTAGCCTTGTAAATACTCTAAAGATAACCCCCAAGGTTCTTTCTGGTATTTCCCATTGGAAACTGGAACCAGATCTCCCAGACTGTGCCTCGTGGATGCAGGAAGAGGCTAACAGATCTGGAAATAAAACTTCTAAGCTGGCAAGGTTATTGTGCTAAACTTCATAGCGCCAAACACACTGTGATGAATTATTAGTGTAAATATTTAAAGATTGTCTTCTACCAGGTAATTTATTATGCTACATTGTGGGAAGAGTTGCATTTGCCTGGTTCACTACTTAGCATGGTGCGCGGTACACAGTAGGCACTGAATAAATCAATTAACAGGTGTATGAGGACATTTTAAGCCATGGTAGGCTGCTCCAGGCAGGGGCATATGAAGGTGTAACTTTACAGGAAATACATATCCAAGTAGAAGTAGACTGAATGGTCAGTAAAAGACTGGTCAGTCTAGAAATACATACTAGTATGTATAATTTAGATATTTTTCTCCTACAACTAGGCTTCCTATACAGTTGGGGAACTTAACTAAATTCAGGTCCTCTGGACATTTTTGTGACAGAAGAAAAAAAAAAATTAACATTTACTATATGATACGGATGTCATTTTAAGCAAGTGTAAAATGTAATAGTTATTTAATGTACAATGTCAGGACTGGCTAATTTTAAACAAGGTTAGATTCTAGCCTCATACAATGTACTAAGATAAAATTCTATATGGATTAAAGATTTAAATATAAAGAAAGAAAGTTATAGGGGTTCCATACTAAAATGGAGAATATTTAATAATGTAATTGGGCAAAAGCTTTTTTAAAAAGCAGAACATTAAAGCCCAAAGTTAACAAAAGAAATAGAAAGTTCATCCACATAAATATAAAAACCTAGTTGGCAAAGAAATTTAAAGGGCAAGGGACCAATTGGGAAAAATATTTGCAACATAAGACAGAGTGCCATTAGTATAATCAAGGCTCTTACAAATTAGTAAAAAAAATCAATTTAATATCTCAATAGTGAGAAGACCATAGGACTTAAACAAGTAACAAAAGTGTTCAACTACATTTATCAAAGAAATGCCAATGAAACCAAGATTGTATTTCTTAGCTATGCTATCAGCAGATGAAACAATAATACTTACTGAGCCCTTTCTGTGTTGTCAACCACTATTTTTTTTTTACTTTTAAGAGTTACCGTCATTCATATGTATGTAAGAATTTATTGAGTTGTACATTTAACATTCATGCACTTTATGTATGTTATACCTTAATTAAAAAGCTGTTTTGTTTGTAAACAGTTTGCCTTACAGTCTATTGGAAAGTAAACCACTGTTGTGCTTTGGTTGGTCTGACCCTGTGCCGGATGCTAAGGTGAGAGATGATGGCAGCCACTGGGAGAACAGCTCTGTTGATGAAACGTTCTCTTCAAACTTGTGGGGTAGTGTATCGTCTATGGCTCTGTGACAGTTAGAAATCGCAAAATTCGGTGTAATGGTCTCTGACACAAAAATTTCATTCTGAATGAATATGCCATCTGTTCTCATAACACTTTAATCATGCATCAAATATTATTAAAAAATGCCTTGCAAAGTAGTTTGTGGTTTGTATTCTTGTATCCACTACTATGGTAGGAAAGACAAGGACAAATGTTGAGTCTTACTTTCATCTGTATTTCCCTCAGTGCCTAGTATATATAGTGCCTTTCATTTGGTTGGAACGTACAATAAATGTTCACTGAACTATTTTTTCTCTCTTTATGTTAATAAAGTAATTCATCTTAAATATCAGTGGTTCACAACCTTGGGGGGTGTGGGGGGAAGGATAAATATGATTGGTAGACTTATCCCAAAAGTTTAATGTTGAAATCTTTGTGGTTGACTCCCCAACATCCATTCATGGAAAATCTTGGGGGTGATTGGTTTGGGTATGGGTGTGGGTCGTGAACCTTCCCAATAAGGCATGGGCCAAGTCCTGTTAGTAGACTTTGGGAAGGGCACGTATTTCTCATTCCTAACAAGGAGGCACATGAGGAGCTGGGTCCTTTCTGGAAAAAGGACTGGATACTTATAACTGCGTATGATTCCTGGGATTCCCATCTAGTGGCCATAAATGGAGTCAACTCTTGAGGTACAGTCAGCACACCAAGGACAACAGAGAGAAGAAGCAAGGACATCGAGTCACTGCATCGCGTAACTCTAGATTGAACTATTGCTGAATTTCTTGTTTCGAGACAAATTTTCTTACTGTTAAAAAGAAAAAAGGCCACCACCTTATGAGATACTCTGCTAATACCCATTCCACAGATGAGAAAACTGGCATGGAGATGCTAAGCAGATTTCCTACGGCTTCACAATAGGTACATTTGAGTTCAGTCACACACCTCGCCATCATCGGCCTGCTAGTCACTGTGCTGTGAGCACAGGCTCTGAAGCCGCCTGGATCAGAGCTCAGCCCAGCCACACCTCAGTTTCTCCATCTGTCAATGGGAATAACAGTATCCCTCGAGGGGTCTTAATAAAATGAATTAATAGATAGCATATGCTGAGAACAGTAAATGTATGCTCTAGGAATAATACATAATGGGAGCAAAAACTTTGGGGAAACTTGGTAAAATTAAAGATTCCTACATCCTTTGACTCAGGAATTCCACTCCTAGGAATATATCCAATTAAATAAGTATGGCTTTGTTCACAAATTTCTATATAAGAGTTATTGTGATGTTTAAAATAGCAAAAAGCAAACCTAAATATTCAACAATAGAGAGCATTAGTATAAACAAGGCTCTTACAAATTAGTAAGATAAAGCCACTAAACATGCTGAGGAACATTTATTGGTATAGAAAGATGCTTACAGATGGTTAATTGAAAAAGCAGGCAACAAAGTCATGTACACTTATATTGATTCTGTAAAACAGTATATGCCTAAGAAAAAGTCTGGAAAATCTCAAGTGATACCTGGTTATTTCTGTGTGGCGAGTTTATGGTGAGTCTTACCTTCCTGCTTTACATATTTTTACATAATTCAGTATTACTTAATTATTTAAAAATCCACTTGGGTATTATTTGCAAAGTAGTAATAATCCACCCTATCCATAATGTCTCATGGCTGATGATATTCTGGTCCAGGTTTCCCTCAATAGCTATTATTTTCTTGGAGGGGTGGTATGGGGGAACCAAATTTGGTTCCTCACCCTGTCTCTACCTATTTCCACAAAAGTTCTTGCAGATAATGTCCATTCTGCTTAGATTTTTAGCTTAGTTTTTTATTTTAAATATATTTTTATTGATTTCAGAGAGGAAGGGAGAGGGAGAGAGAGATAGAAACATCAATGATGAGAGAGAATCATTGATAGGCTGCTTTTTGCATGTCCCCTACTGGGGATCGAGCATGCAATCCAGGCATATGCCCTTGACCAGAATCGAACCCAGGACTATTCAGTCCATAGGCCGATGCTCTATCCACTGAGCCAAACCAACTAGGGCTAGTTTATTTTCTTAAATATATTTTTATTGATTTCAGAGAGGAAGGGAGAGGGAGAGAGAGATAGAAACATCAATGATGAGAGAGAATCATTGATCAGCTGTCTCCTACTGGGGAATGAGCCTGCAACCTGGGCACATGCCCTGACCGGGAATCGAACTATGACCTTCTGGTTCATTGGTTGATTGATGCTCAACCACTGAGCCACGCCGGCTGGGTTAGTTTTTTAGTAGGACATTGAATGGGCCTACCCTTCACTACCCAGGCCCTTTTTTAGGCATTGGCAATAAAAGCTACATCAGCTTGGTTAAGACCACCAGCTTCATTGCTTAAGTGCCTGCTCTGCCACTTAATAGCTATGTGATTTGGGCAGGTTACTTAACCTCTTTCATTTGAAAGCAAATATTTATTGAGCTTCTCCTACATAGTAGGCACTAGAGATGCAGCATTGAACAAAAGAAGCACCTGCTCATGAAGCTTACATTCTAATCGGGGGAGATTGGTGATAAATAAATCAGGTTATGATAAATGTTATGAAAATAACAGGATGAGGAGAATAAAGAATGACAGGGCTGATGAGGTATGAATGTAGGTACATAGGTGCTAGAAAGAGTAGTCAGGGAATGTATCTCTCCTGACGTGATATTTGAGGAGAGACCTAAAGAAAATAAGGCAGCCAGCCAGGAGGTGGTGTGTGGGGAGAGAGTTTCAGGAAGAGGCAGTGGCCTGCTGGCGCTGGCTTGCATTTGATCTGATTACATGCACCTCTTCCCAAACTTGTGTTCAGTGAAGTCGAATTGATGGCTTGAAATCAGCCTTGATGAGAGCATTTATACACAGAAATGAGCAAATACTACGAATTCTCCCCACTAGAGAGCCATTTGTTAAATATTTACCAGCACACAACTGGGGAGAGGGAGCAGTAAGCGCAAAGGCCCTGAGGCAGGAGTGTTCCTGGTGTGTTTGAGGAACATCAAGGCAACCAGGGTGGCTAGACAGAATGAGAGGGAAGTAGTTAGGAGATGAGGTCAGTGGTGGCCAGGACGTTATAAGCCATGAAAGTACACAGGGCTTCATTCTAAGCAAAATGGAGGCCATTGGAAGTTTTAAACAAAGGTGTGATACCATCTAACTTATGCTCTGAAGAATACCATATGGGGAGGAATCAGGAAGACTAATTTTATCTAACTCAGCAATAAGTTAGATAAAAGAAGATGATGGCTTGGTAGTGGTAGAGGTAGTAAGTGGCTTGGTAGTGGTAGTAAGAAGAGCACCTCAATTTATTCACTTTTTCACATATTTTGAAGATTAAGTAAGATAACATTTAAAAAGTGCTCAACATTGGCCTAACACACAGGAGGCCAGCAATAGATGATAGCTGTTTTATTATTATTATTATTGTTGTTGTTATTGTTATTATTATTTTAAAAAATATTTTTATTGATTTCAGAGAAGAAGGGAGAGGGAGAGATAGAAACGAGAATAATGAGAGGGAATCATTGTTTGGCTGCCTCCTGGGGATTAAGTCTACAACCTGGGCATGTGCCCTGATGGGGAATCAAACCTTGACCTCCTGGTTCATAGGTTGACACTCAACCACTGAGCCACGCCGGCCAGGCTGTTGTTATTCTTACTGACAGAATGCCAATCCTGGAGTGAGGAGAGGGTGTTCATATCTGGTTAGGAAGGCAAATAATTTTAGCAACAAGTGGTAAGTACTGTGTTCCAGACAAGTGGGAGCATAGAGGAGAGACTTCGGCCAGGTTGGGGGTAGGAAGGCCAGGGAGGCTGTTTGAGAGCGGCTTTCGCAAGGGCCTGGGGAAAGAGAATTAGAAGAAATGTACAACTGCTTAAAGTGTCTACACCTCCCCAGTTTGGTGACAAACAGATCTCAGCTTTATCCTTTAGCAAAAGAATCAGTGATCTGAAGGAACAGTGATAATTTAATTACTCGGTGTGTTAATTAAGTCACCCAGGAGTCTGTGGATCGTTAGGTTCCAACTCATAGTCACTGGTAATTTCATGAATTCCATGGAGCCTTTGATTCTGATCAACAGATTCAGCCGGTAAGAACTTTAGAACTTGCTGTGAAAAAAGAAGTTTTTAATCTGAGGCCCAAGCATGGGCTTCGGGAGGTCTGGAATCCTGTGAGGACATTTGCAGAATTATGTGTGTGCAGTGAACTTGGGAAGTAGACATGAAACAGAGCAGTTCCATGTTTATCAAATTCTCAAGGAAGTTTATGGCCCCAAGAAAATTAAAAACACTGCTACTGAGAGTCACATTAGAAGGTAAAAATAGCCTAGAAGAACGGGCATGTTTTTGTTTGCCATCTCATCTATCATGAAAATATTTGGTAACATGATATTTTAAATCATATGAAAGCAGTTCAAACACTGCATTTAAAAGTGGTTCTTTTATAATAAGGCCTTTGTCATTTATGCAAATATGAACCCTGAGAACATTCATTCCAACTGAGAACTTCAGTTGTGCCAAGCTCGGATGGTAAATGAGCCACCATATACAGTGGGGCCTTGACTTACGAGTTTAATTCGTTCCGTGTGGAGCTGGTAACTCAAATTACTCGTATGTCAAATCAAAAAGTGAATGAGTGAGACACGTGATGCTGGGCTGATGTTGTGGCGTTCACTGTGACGTTCGCTGCGCCAACTAGCGGTGGGGTATCTGAAGCTGGCTCGTAACCCAAATTTTAGCTCGCAACTCAAAGCAAAAAATTGGCCGAGAGACGGCTCATATCTCGAAAAACTCGTTAGTCGGGACACTCGTAAGTCAAGGCCCCACTGTAATAAGAAGTGTTTTTACACAAGATTCGCTCTGTTGGCCATGCCAGGATCACCTGATAGTCTTCCTTTTGAGTGCTTTCCGTCTTTGATTTTATTATTATTTCTTACTGATTATTGATTTCCTACAGCCCCCTGTTTGTAGGCTGCCAGAGTCTTCATAGTAACAACCATTCCCTAAGGCAGTGATGGCGAACCTATGACACGCGAACTCATTTTTTTGGTTGATTTTTCTTTGTTAAATGGCATTTAAATATATAAAATAAATATCAAAAATATAAGTCTTTGTTTTACTATGGTTGCAAATATCAAAAAATGTCTATATGTGACACGGCACCAGAGTTAAGTTAGGGTTTTTCAAAATGCTGACATGCCGAGCTCAAAAGGTTCGCCATCACTGCCCTAAGGGCTTCTTCAAAGCCAACGAGATTGCCGAAATTTTACTTTAAAAGGAGGAATAATAGAAGTGAATTGCTCTGACCATCTTCTAGTCATACAAGGATGGTTATCGTTTACCTACCTATTTATTTTTGTCTGACAACAGGCAATGAATTCTATGAATCATGTGTGAGTTGTAATAATTCCTGCTTCTTGAGCACAGACTATGGCCCAAACACCTTGTTAAGTGTATTATGTGGATGATGCCATTGGATCCCTCCAACACCCCTGAGACAGGGACTTTACCTATTTTATAGATTCCAAACCTAGGCTCTGAGTGAGATAGGTAACTAACTTGCCCAAGATCACACAGCCAGCGAGCAGCATAACCAGTAAATAGAAAATGGAAAACAAGATGTCCTCTGAAGGATGGGTGAGCTGCAGGAAGGAAAGCACCCCCTTTCCCTGGGTCATCGTAATTTTTCACCTGTGGCATTTTCCAGTGCTGCTGAATTGGGCACCGTGTCAGGACTTGGATGAGAGAAAGAGTACAGGAACCAGTGATTACTGAAAAGGGTTGTAGGCAAATGAATTAATCCATCTACTTAATATATCTCAACATATTGATTAAATAATGATGGTGGAAATAGTTAACTTTTATTGAGTGTTTACCATGACAAAGCACAGTGTGAGGTGCTTTACTTATAGTATTGCATTGAATCCCTGTCAAAAAGCTCCTGAGGGAGGCACTACTATACCCATTTCACAGATAAGGGAACCGAGGCTCAGAGAAGTTGCATAAGTTTCCCAAAGTCACATAGCTAGTAAGATGGTATGATATGGACCAAGATCAGCCTCCAAAAGCTATGTACTTTACACAATAGTGGTGGGTAAAAGTAGGTTTACAGTTGTGACTATGCGAAACAGTTATTCTAGTAATGTTATTTGTTAATTATTGTATTATTTATTTGTATTATAATTGTAAACCTACTTTTGCCCACACCTATATATCATATCGTAAAATTTACTTTAAAAGCTACTGACGGGTTGAGTGTTCTCCATCCCTGAAAAAGTAAAAGCTATTGACTAGAATTTAAACTATTTGGGGTCAGAGGTCATGTCATTAAATTTTGTATACTCCTCAGGACATAATATAGTACCTTGTACCCAGTAGGTACTCAAGGACTGTTTGTGGGTTGATCACCCATCACAGGGGATTGAAAAATAGAACATCAAAGGCACAAAAATATATCTTATTTCAAAATATGAAAAAGTAAGATATAGAAGGTGTATAGCTCAGGCATAGGTGTAATGCTCAGACATGTGGCCTGAGGGTCTCATGGTCCACGTGTGACTCTTTGGCTCGTGGCTGACACCGCCTTCCTCGGCACAGCCAGCCCTCTTCTGCACGTCGGGAATGGAGGAGTGGTGCTGTCTGCCGAGGGTTTCCTGGTCGTGGCATCGCTCTAATATTCCAGCGTCACCGTCTTGGTTTTGAGGTATTCGTTTAGCGCTTCCTCACCTAGGAAAGAGAAAAACTGTTGGTGGACAGTGTTCATAGGTGGCTGTGATGTCACCAGACTTTCGGACACAGGTGTGGGTGTCTAGGTCACTGAGCAAATAGAATGTGGGCCAGACCAGTCTTTCTCAAACATTAAAATTCATGTGAATCACCTGATGATTCTGTGAAACTACAGCTTCTCATTCAATTAAAAATGGTCTAGGTCCCATCATTGAGTTTACTGTCTCTCTCTCTCTTTAAAAAAAGTTTTTTTTTAATTAAAAATTTTTTTCAATTACAGTTTACGTTTAATATTCTGTATTAGTTTCAGATGTACAGCATAGTGGTTAGACAATCATACACTTTACAAAGTGTTCCCCCTCCCAATATTTCCAGTACCCACCTGGCACTGTACATAGTTATTGCAATATTATTGACTACTAGGAGCTCAGTGCACAAAATTCATGCACTGGGGAGGGGGGGGTGTCCCTCAGCCCAGCCTGGGCCCTCTTGAAGTACCGCCCGCCCATCGATCGCCCTGCAGAGGGAGGCCCCGCCGCAGCACTGCTGGCCAGGTAGCATGGGCCTCCTTCTGTGGGGTGATTGTGGGGTGATGGTGGGGCCCCCTGACCAATCACATCGCACCCGCCTTGGCTGGCCTGGCACCAGTGCGTGTCGTAGTGTGATCGTTTGGACAATCGTTCTGCTGTTCTGCCCTTGGGTCGATTTGCATATTACACTTTTATTATTATAGATATTCTGTTTTTTTGTACTTTACATGCCCATGACTATTTTGTAACTACCAATCTGTACTTCTCAATCCCTTCACCTTTTTCACCTAGTCCCTCGTCTCCCCCCCTCCCCCCACTCTGACAGCCATCAGTCTGGTCTCTGTATCTATGAGCCTGTTTCCTTTTTTTTTTTTTTTTACACATTTATGGGGGTTTTTAAAAAATATATATTTCTATTGATTTCAGAGAGGAAGGAAGAGGGAGAGAGAGATAGAAACATCCATGATGAGAGAGAATCATGGATCGGCTGCCTCCTGCAAGTCCTCCACTGGGGATCAAGCCCACAACCCCGGCATGTGCCCTTGACCGGAATTGAACCCGGGACCTTTCAGTTCGCAGGCCGACGCTCTATTCACTGAGCCAAACTGGCTAGGGCTATGAGCCTGTTTCTGTTGTTTGTCTATGTACCCTGTCTTTAGATTCCACATATAAGTAAATCATATGGTATTTGTCTTTCTCTGACTGACTTATTTCACTTAGCACATACTGTGTCTCTTGACTTCATCCTTTTTTCTCTTGCTTGCTTTAATCTTGTGTTGTTTTATACATTTAGTGTAGCCTAGGTGTACAGTGTTTGCGAAGTCTACAGTGGTGCACAGTGATGCCTGAGGCCCTAAAAATCACTCACCACTCACTCACTGAGTCACCCGGAGCAACTGCCAGTCCTGCAAGCTCCATTCATGGTAGGTGCCCTGTACAGGTGAACCGTTTTTTATCTCTTATAACCATGTTTTTACTGTATCTTTTCTATGTTTACATACGTTTGGATCCACCAATACTTGCCATTATGTTACGATTGCCTACAGTCTTCAGTACGAATCATATTTTAAAGATAAGGAAAATGCAGTTTTCCTGATTTATATAGCATCTTGGGAACAGAGAAAGCCATATCCAGGCAAAAACAAATAGGTCTTGCTCTCTGTTCCTACTCTGAGCTAGACAACCATCAACTTCTAGCAGTGAAAGGGCATGAGTGCCACAGGCGAAGCTAATGAGTGTGTGATTCTGTCAGTTGAGCTAAAACAAGGGTTGTAACCTTACATTAGTATCACCCCGGGGAGCTTTTAAAACTCCTGATCCAGGTCACACCCCAGAGCAATTACATCAGCATCTTTGTATTTTTTAAGGCTCCCTGGTGATTCTAATCCAATGTGCCACTGGGAACCACCGGGCTAAGGGAGTTTTAAATTGGGAGAGGAAGAAACTATTGGGCAAATTCTGCTGTTTTATCATAAAACAGAGACCTGAAGCTGGGCCATTATACTCTATCCAAAGTCAAGTGGACACAGTTTCCTTGCTTTAAAATAGTATTTTCTCTAAGAAAATTGCCCACTGTGTTTTGGATGCAGGGATGAAAGTTGGATTAATAACATGAAGAAGAAGAAAAAAAGACTTTCTACCTCAATGGCATTTAAAATGAGAGCTACGTTTATTGCTGCAAATACATTGCCCAAAGTCATCAAGAGAAAAGTGTAAAAACACCCCAAATTAACCAAACTTATATTAGTGGACTATAATTTCAGTAAATCACAAATATTTCAGTTTTTGAAATAACATATAGATTGACTGTGGGGAGGAAGAACATGGGCCCCATAGCCAGATTGCTTGGCTTTGAATTCTCTGCCAGTGGCTGGCTGTGTGACTTTGAGCAAGTTACCCAACCTCTCTGAGCCCCTATTTTCCTCATCCATTAAATAAAGATAATAAATGGTACCTGTCTCCCAGAGCTATTGTGAGATTGCTTGTGGTCATGCAGGTAAAGCAGTTAAAACAGGGCCTGGTTTAGTGTTCAAAGTAAGCTGCTACTTAAATGTGTCACTGCCCATAATGAGTTTCATTTTGGGCTTTCTACAAACTCCAAATCCAAGTTCCCAGACCCCCAGAAAACCCTGCCGGTTGCAGTGTTGACCCTGAAAACTTGCCAAGCAACTCAGAGACAGGATTTATTCTCGGAGATAGCTGGTTATTGCCCTGTATCCATTTTTCCTGTCTTGGTTCCCATGAACACTAAACCAAATTCATGCTGAAGGTCAAGTAAAAAACAAAAAAACAAAAATGAACCTATCTTAGTTAAAAGATATTGTCAGAGGTTCTTTTTCCTTTCATTGTTACTCTTCTTTTAAAAGGAAACACTTTCCCACACTATTTGTGTACTTTTTTATATGTTCAAAAGAATGTTTAATATTTTCAAACATTCGTAGTTGCCCTAGCCCAGTGGTCGTCAAACTCATTAGTCAACAGAGCCAAATATCAACAGGACAACGACTGAAATTTCTTTTGAGAGCCAAATTTTTTAAACTTAAACTATATAGGTAGGTACATTGTTATTAACTTAATTAAGGTATTCCTAAGGCTTAGGAAGAGCCACACTCAAGGGGCCAAAGAGCCGCATGTGGCTCAAGAGCCGCAGTTTGCCGACCACGGCCCTAGCCGGTTTGGCTCAGTGGCTAGAGCATTGGCCTGCCGACTGAAGGGTCCTGGGTTTGATTCTGGTCAAGGACACGAACCTTGGTTGCAGGCTCAAGCCCCAGCCAAGGTCAGGGTGCATGTGGGAGATAACCAATGGGTGTGTCTCTCTCACATTGGTGTTTTCCTCTCTCTGCCCCTCGCCCTCCCTGCCACTCTCTAAAAAATCAATGGGAAAAATATCCTTGGGTGAGGATTAATAAAACAAACAAACAAACAACTTAGTGCCCTGTAAAGCCAGAATGCCCTTTGAAACAGTACATGGGGCTCTAGCCGGTTTGGTTGAAGGGTCCCGGATTCAATTCTGGTCAAGGGCATGTACTAGTATGTTGGCTGAATGCTCAATCCCCAACCCCAGTGTCTCTCTCACATTGATGTTTTCCCTCCCTCTGTCTCTCCCCCTTCCTTTCATTCTCTCTAAACATCAATGGAAACGTATCCTCAGGTGAGGATTAACAACCACCACAAAACGCACAGTACGTGGGTGTGGCATGAAGCACAAAGCAGACTGGATGTGGAAACACAGGAACGCACAGGAGAAGAGCACAGCGTACCTAAGTCTTTTCCAAAGCCAGATTGTTTAACTCCGCCGAAGGGGGCTGCCACGTCCGTCTTGTTGTAAGTGTTAATAAACACGGTCCCCGCTTCAAGTTTCTCACTAATGTACATCGCTTTGTTTATGTCTCTTGTGAAAACCCCCGAAGCCAAACCGTACTCTGTATTATTTGCTCGCAGCAACACTCCATCGATGTCCCTACGAGATGTTTTTAGGAAGACATAAAACTTCATTAAGTGTAGGGCACAGCACTCCCATTTGTGTTCTAACATTTCCCCCTCCATGCTAGAAACAGGAACACGTGATTGCTTACCTGCTTACATTTTTATAAATGAAACTATCCAGGCTTATACCAAAAGAAAACCCAGTGAAATATTACAACTCCAGTATTAACAGTTTCATCCATGTCATACGGCACCATTTAAAATCTGATCTTTTCAGAGAGGAAGGGAGAGGGAGGGAGAGATAGAAACATCAATGATGAAAGAGAAGCATTGATAGGCTGCCTCCTGCACGCCCCACACTGGGGATCAAGCCCACAACCCAGGCATGTACCTGACTGGGAATTGAACCATGACCTCCTGATTCATAGGTCAATGCAGGTGAACCACACCAGCCAGGCTAAAGTCATCTTTTCAATTTTCTTAATTGGTTCTCCTTTATGCCTATTCATTCCCTCTCCTCTCCCTTGATTCCCACTTCTAGATATGTTCTCAGAGTGACCCCTACTTCCCTCCATCGCTTCAGATTTTACACACGCAGCTCCAGGCTCATTCAGTGTCTCACCCTGAAGCCTCCCAGTGCCCACCCTTGCCAACATCGAGGCCTAGACGGTAGGAACTCAATGGGAGGGCTCTGCATCCAGACTGCCTGGGGGACCCTGGACCAGTGACTTCCTCTTCCCATGCTTTCGTTTATTCTTGTGAAAATGGAAATAATAATAATAGCACCTGTCTTGTTGTTGTGAGGATTAAATGAGCTAACAGTGCCTGGAACTTAGTAAATGCTCAATAAAAATCGGCTATAATGCCCTGGCCAGTTAGTTGGAGCATCATCCCATATACCAGAATGTTGCAAGTTGGATCCTTCTCCCTCTCTGTCTCTCTTTCTCTCTCTCTCTCCAGGGAACACATGTTCCTCCAACTCAGGATTTTGAATGAGCTCTTCGTGTACTTCTGGTTCACCTCCTAACCAGACTGGAAGCTCCCAGAGGGCAGGGATAACATCTTGTTCCTCTTTACACCGTGATGTTGCATCAGCAAATGAGAGGAAATTCAGTTACTGTGTTAATTCAACAAAAGGAGAGTAAAATAATCCCTTACATCGATCTTCTGATTTCCTGGCCATTTGTCTCAGTATGTACTCACTTCCGACATGCCTGCCACGGCGTATCTCACCTTTCTGAGTGTCATCCTAATGCTTAGAAAGGCACAAATTCTCTACAATATGATCAGTAGACGCAAGCCAAGTATTTCATCTGGTGCTCCGGCAAAGAAACAGAATCTGTTCCAAAACTGGAGGGGAAATTAGTTGTGCTGGCTTTTTTAAGAGACAGCAAAGGCTTGAATGTGGAGCCTGCTGAAGGTATTTTCAACGGTCATCTTGACTACATGGAAGTTTAAACTCACAGGAGAGATTTGGAACCTAACTTGGCGTGCTCTGAGGCTCCGCTAACTCTCTCACAGTCCTTCATGCATTGTGCATGGTAGGGACCCACATATCTATAAACTGGACTACGGCTTTATGCCATTGCTTGTGCGGACGGTTGAGATGACATAATTTTATAGTATGTCTTGCTTACGTCCAGAACAGTGGTTCTCAACCTTCCTAATGCTGTGACCCTTTAATACAGTTCCTCATGTTGTGGTGACCCCCAACCATAAAATTATTTTCGTTGCTACTTCATAACTGCAATTTTGCTACTGTTATGAATCGTAATGTAAATATCTGATATGCAGGATGTATTTTCATTGTTACAAATTGAACATAATTAAAGCATAGTGATTAATTACAAAAACAATATGTAATTATATAAGTGTTTTCCGATGGTCTTAGGTGACCCCTGTGAAAGGGTTGTTCGGCCCCCAAAGGGGTCATGACCCACAGGTTGAGAACCGCTGGTCTAGAATAATAACAAGCATAACAGTGGCAATACACCAATAGCAAACACTTCACTTATTTAATCTTTAGAATGACCCCAAAAGTTAGATACTATTAATAGCCCAATTTTGCAAGTAAAGAAACTGAGGCACAGACTGATTAAATAACTGGCCCAAGCCGACAGAGGTAGACAGGTGTGGGGCCACAGGACAGCTGCTGCCCACTGTACAATCCTGCCCTTGGCCTTCTGTGATTAATTGCTCATATCCTGGTCTGTCTCCCATTAGATGGTAAGCTCCTTGAGGACAAGAACTGCGACTTATCTAGGTCTATGTCCCCAAAACATGGCTTCCTCTATCTGCATGTTTAACACAAGGCCTATCTGTGGGGGAACTTATAACGAAAGGAAGGTAATGGCATCCTTGAATCAGTTTGTCAAAGTTTACTCACTATAGCTTAGTGTCCCTCAAAGTCTTTTACAATGTCTATTAAAGACCAAGAAGTTCGTCTGAACTTTATATTCTGCTTCTTTCCACCTTATCATGGGTTGAAGGAAATCTAAAGTTAGAATTCAGAAGAATTTTGTGGCGTATATCATGAGTCTGTGGTACTAAACATTCTTATAGGAGCTCAGTTACTGTACAGCCTTCTCTGATATGCTGAACACTTTGGAAAATTTCATGTGCTCTAACACATCAGGATATCATTTACATTTGATTACATGGTGATTGTGGCTATTTCTATAAGAAGCTAAGTATTGGGCTTTTGGGGCCATAATCCCCTAGGAAGGCAGCAGTCCTTTTTGGACAAAATCAGATTTCACAGATGCTGCCTTCCCTAGGAATGTAAATGTGGAAACTGGTTCTGTTATTTTCAGTAATTTACCTTGTTCCAGAGACATTTCAAGTGTCAACTGTACAAAAACGAAAATTTAGTCAGCTAAAGTCCTATGTCAGCATTAATTTAGGAAGCAAAAGTATATTTCAATCATTAGTTAGCACTCTCTTCTCAATATTTAAGTCAACTATTCTTATAGTAGAGAATTACATGTTCATTGATTTTTATGCTCTGTATATAGCTCAATGGCAGAATAATAATAATAAAAATCCCACAACGTATGTAGTCAAAACTCGTTAAATTGTGCCCGGAGAACATACCCATTTTGGAATTTAGAAATGACCATAATAGGCCCAAAGGATTCCTCTTTGGCCAGGTACATGTGGTCTTCCACATCTGTGAACACAGTCGGTTCCATAAAAAAGCCTATTTGAAAAACAGAGGAAAAGAACGTCAATTATAGGCTAATCTTCAATGAACAGTTCTTATTTAATTACATTACACATCTTTTTCTTCCCTCTGGGTCAGTCAAAAAAAGAAAACTTTCATTTTCCTATTTGGCATTAGCATTCCTAGGTTCTTATATTTATAATGCTTTTATTACAAACATTTCAAACATATGTACAAATAGACAATATAGTATCATGAATAGTAAAATAATTATTTATTTATATTTGCTGTATTTGATTCACTTTTTACTTGCTGAAATATCTTAGAGGAAATTCCAGAGATTACAACTTTGACCTCCAAGTATTTCAGTACAAATCTAAAAAATAAGGACATTTTCTTGCATACTGCGCAATACATTATCATACCTAACAAGTTTATGCTAATTTCTTATTCATAATTTACACTTCAGTTTCTGATTGTCTGGAAAGATCTTGTTCCAGTTGACCTGTTGAATTCAGGATTTAAATAAATTCTGCACATTGTATTAGGTTATTAGAGCTCTTGTGTCCTTTAATCTAGAATGTTTCCCCTTTATCCCTGCCCCTTATTTTTCATGCCATTGATGTGTTAAACAGACCAAGTCACTTGTTCTATAGAATACCTTGCATTTTAGATTTGTCATTGCTTCCTTGGGATGGTATTTAATTTGTTCTTCCAGCCCCTGTATTTCTCGTAAATGGAAAATTTGACCTACAGGCATGGTCAGGTTCAGGTTAAATGTTTTGGGCAAGAATACTTTACAGGTGGTGTTGCCCATTGCATCTTATAGGAGACACAGCGTATCCAGTCGCCCAGCTCTCCCTGCTGCTAAGATTGACCAGTGGTTCTAAGTGGTGACAACCTGGCCCCTCCATTACAAAGTTGTGCTTTTTTCCTTCTGCTGGCAAGCGAGCTTGGGGGTGATACTTTGGTATCTTACAAATGCTCAGGTCCCCATCAACCTTTTACCTAATAACTTTAGCCTCTCTGATGATCATTGCCTGAATCAATTATTTCATTCAATTAGGGAGTGCGAATTGGTGACTGATGGATTGATTTTTGTTAATCCTCACTGAGAATATTTTTTCTATTGATTTGTAGAGAGACTGGAAGGGAGGGAGAAAAAAAGGGAAAGAGAGAGGGAGAGAGAGAGAGGGAGAGAGGGAAAGAGAGAGGGAGAGAGGGAGAGGGAGAGAGGGAAAGAGAGAGAGAGAGAAACATTGATGTGAGAGACACATCAATTGGTTGCCTCCTGCACTCACCCTGACTGGGACCAGGGATTGAACCTGCAACCCAGGTAAGTGCCCTTGATTGGGAATTGAACCTGCGACCCTTCAGTGCAGGGGTACATAAGGGGATTGGGGGGGGGGGTTGGGTGGAGGAGGGGAGGATGCTCTAATCACTGAAATACACCAGCCAGGATGGTAAATTTTTTAATTCTATTATATTTTTCTAGATTATTTAGCAGGGATCCTTTTGCAAAAATAAAAAAGTCTCCTTTATCACCTACTCAGTTATCCAGAAATTCAGTTCATACAGGAAACACATGATAAATGTTGAATTTTTTCCCTTTTAATTGCCAATTTTCAGAGTAGGATGCTGGCACACAATCTACCTACAGGAGTAAAAAACGAGTTTTTGCAGTTGTTTGTCTTTTTCTCCTTTTGGGTGTCATAACAGTGAGCCATTTGTGTGTTTCAGTAACAAGTCCTGCTTCAGACAAGAGGAATGACTCGTTCCCAGGCTCTGCTGGCTAAGGTGACATCTCACAGTGTCAGGAAGAAAGATCAGCAGCTCTTGAGCAACACAGATGCCCACTACCCTTGCTTACTGTACAGCTAAGGGCCCATCACATCTATTTCATGAGCGGATTTTCATAGCCTCATATAGCAGGATATGCACGTTTCATCCCATTTTACACGGGAGGTTCAGAAAACCTGTATTGTCCAAGGTGCCACAGCGTATAAGTGGCCAAGCAGGAGCTAAAAATTAACTCTTCTGACTTTTGAGGCAAGCTGGTGTTGCTATAAAAGCTGTTCCCATCTCTGTGAACTTCGGAGGTGATCTTACCTGGCCTTGGAACTTGTCTTCCCCCGTACACCAGGGTGGCCCCCTCTTTCACTCCTGCTTCACAGTATTGAAGAAGCTTTTCCAGATGCGCTTTATGATTCTGGGGCCCGTGATCAGTAGATCTGTCAAGCGGATCACCAATTTTCATCTTTTTAATTTCTTCCACCTGTATGTCACCCAGTTCACAAAACACAATGGACTGTTAATAATAATAATGGGTACCCTTGACTGAGCTCCTACCACGTGGCGGGTCTTGTACTAAGCTGTTAAAAGATTTGTCGTCATTTCGTCTTCAAAGCAGCATTAGAAATGGGTATTTATTATTTCCATCTTACAGCTGAAGAAACTGAGGCTTAGAGAGGTTAAGTGACTTGCCCAAGGGCGCACAACCACCAAATACGATAGTTTTGTTAAGCTCTTAACTACTGAGTTTTAACAGAACGTAGCTACAAATACTATTTTAAAATGATCCTGAGAACATATATACATAACTCAGGGACACAGACAACAGAGTGATAAAGATTGGGGGGAGAGGGAGGGGGGAGCAGAGGCTGGGTGGAAGTGGGCAAAGGATGGGGGAGGGAAATGGGGGGACATCTGTAATAGCATCAGCAATAAAAAAATTATCCTGAATGTTAATCCATTAAAACAGTAAATCTGATGTTTTGGAATTTTTATTAGTACAGTGTGCTTACAGCCAGCTGGCCAGCCTGACTCAGTGGTTGAGCATCGACCCATGAACTAGGTACAGTGGTCGGCAAACTGCGGCTCGCGAGCCACATGCAGCTCTTTGGCCCCTTGAATGTGGCTCTTCCACAAAATACCGACTTCTGCACATGGGCCACGAAGTTTCAATCGCACTGTACGTGCGCTTTTTTTTGACCACTGAACAAGGAGGTCACAGTTTGATTCCCGGTCAGGGCACATGCCCAGGTTGCAGACTCAATCCCCAGTAGTGGGTGTGGGGGAGGCAGCCCATCTATGATTCTCATCATTGATGTTTCTAACTCTTCCTTTCCCTTTCTCTCTCTGAAATCAATAAAAACATATTTTTTTTAAAAAATGCAGTGTGCTTACACTCTTCCTGACAAAAGAATTTCCAAATGGCCACATTGTTATCTCTTTTTCTCTCCCCAAGTGTGGCAGACTGGCCTTGTGAAATTCTCACGGCACGGCCATGCCAGAGGAATTGCTAGACTGTTCCGATGAAAAACCATCTTCATTGAACGATGTTCATCACTGGCATGTCTTTGTAATCACTTCTTGTACATCTCAATTTTCGTAATCTATTTCTGCATTTTCTAATGTTAAGTTCAATTCTAGTAGGAAGAAAGAATGGGAGTAACTGGGACCCCACAGGCCCATGAATTAGAATTTAGACCTGGCAATAATCCCTCAGGAAGTGCTCAAAAAGATACCTGTTGAATGAGTGAGTGAGTGAATGAATGAATGAATGAATGAATATAAATTGCATGTGTATAAAACGTGTGTGTTGATGGATTGATATAGTAAATCCTTAACATTTCTGGTCTCAGAATTTGAAATTTCAACAAGTTATAGTTGTGAAAACCCATGACGTGGTACTATAACTATTTTCCTGAGGCACAAAATTGCATTGCAGGGATATTTAGGAGGCAGCCACTGCCCACAACGTGTCTCTCCATCTGACTTCCTTGTTTTCTACTCTCATAAAGAAAGAATGTTTGCCTCTTGGGGGTGGGGTCAGGGAATTGGCTCTGGGAAAAAAAAAGCTGGGTGCTGGTTTTTCAAATATAAAACAGATTTATGATTACTATTACCATCATCCTATACAATAAAAGCTTAATATGCTAAGTGTCTGGTCATCCAGTAATGATATGCTAAGGCTGCTCAACCACTTGCTATGTTGTGCACTGACCACCAGGGGGCAGATGCTCTGACCAGTAGGTTAACTTGCTGCTGGGGTCTAGCCGATCAGGACTGAATGAGACGGGCCGGACACACCCTGGAGCCCTCCCACAGTCCCTCCTCAGCTGGCCAACCACCTGCATCCCTCCCCAGCCCCGATCGTGCACCGGTGGGGTCCCTCGGCCTGGCCTGAGCTCTCTCGCAATCTGGGACCCCTCGGGGGATGTCGGGAGCCAGTTTCGGCCCGATGGTGGAATGAACGGTTGCTATGATGCGCACTGACCACCAGGGAGCAGACGCTCAACGCAGGAGCTGCCCCTGGTGGTCAGTGCGCTCCCACAGGGGGAGTGGCGCTCAGCCAGAAGCCAGGCTCACGGCTGGAGAGCACAGTGGCGGTGGCGGGAGCCTCTCCCACCTCCGAGGCAGCGCTAAGGATGTCTGACTGCCAGCTTAGGTCTGATCTTCGCAGGGAGTAGGCCTAAGCTAGCAGTCAGACATCCCCTGAGGATTCCTGGACTGTGAGAGGGCACAGGCCGGGCTGAGGGACCCCCCCCCCCCCCGCCAAGTGCAGGAAATTTGTGCACCGGGCCTCTAGTAATAATATAATGTAGTTTAGTTTAGAGTTTATTTTAGTCACAGAATTCATCTTAATAGTTCTATAAATGACTTTTAGTCTATATTTACAGAATCATGACCAATCAATAGTGGGCATCTGTCTATCTATTGACCTTTCTCTCTCTTTCGTCTGTCTTGATGAAGGATATGGTATTTATCCTGTTAACTGTGAACTGAGGATTTGTAAGGATTGAACAGTGTATCTCTCATAGTTAATTTAGGGGTTTATAAAAATCTCAAGTGTCATGGTTCTAATAGACTATAAATGCAGAGCCAGGTATAGGTAATAACAGCTCTTAAGGGTTTTGTTTATACAGACCTATAACTTTTTACTATGAAAAATTATAAACACATATAAAAGCAGACAAATAATATAATAAAACTCCATGTACCCATCACCCAACTTCAACAATTACCAATTCATGGCCAATTTATTCCACCCCTCACTTCCTCCCCTCCTGGGGAGCAGGAGGGAAGCAAAGTCTAGACATTATATAATTGAACCTATAAATATGTCACAAAGTGGCTCGAAAAGATAAGGACTGAATTGTTTTTTAAAACTATATAAGCACAGTACTATTGTCACACCTAAAAAGTCACTAAGTCTCAGAAATACTTTTTGAGTTTAAGCAATTTCTGTCCGACTCATGGAGCCAACTTAAAGGCGCCTTACCACTCTTGTCACAAATTCATCGTGGATGGATTCTTCCACAAACAAGCGCCCAGCTGCAATACAGTTCTCTCCTTTGTTGAAAAATACCGCTCCCATGCCCTTGGGCAGCAGAGGAGAAAAGATTGTTAACATTATTTGGGAAGTCGGGGTTGTAATAGTATTGCGTGTACTGAGAATATATGCTATGAAAGGCAGCAGACAACAGAGAGGTCACAGACAAACATAACTCCTTGGCCTAGGGGGCGGTGAGCGCTGCTGAAGATACCCCGCTTCGATCCAGCCTGCCTTTTGGGGTTTTGTTTCTCCTTCCCCTCCTTTGGTCCATGAGCACTTAACAAAAAAGTGTGTAAAAGAAAGAACATACCACTAAGGAACAGATTTTGTGTTGCAAGAAAGTCTAGATTATAAATTTAAATGGAATGCCTGTATGTCAGATTTTGCTTTTGAGATCTCTACATTAGTTTGTATAAGTCATGAATGTTTTAAGAACACCTTAATGAGACAAATTATAAAGACATTATTTTAAAAATAAAGTGTTCTGAGTGTTCCAAAATCTAAGCATAAAGAGGATAGTTTCTACAATGACTAGACAAGGCTAGATCTCACTTTAGATTTCTGGTGAGCTTCCCAGTGACATTACTAGCTTCCCTCTGCCATTACCAAATGACTTATTTCCGCTGGGCACCTCTCCTGCCTTTCCACTTCACCACCGATCAAGTGAATACTTGACTAGTACTTCTTCTCTGTGCTTTTTTGTTTGGTTCTAATTAATAAAGATTAAAGTTTCTAAATTTAGATTTTTATAGGGTATTGTAAATAAATACAAATTATATACTTGAAAAAAAAGATTTCTGATAAGCAATGAGGTGAAATGTGTTTTAGAAATAGGCACTTATTTAGTTGGATTTGACCCACTCTTACCATTCGCACGGCTTTGTCAATTTCACAGTCATTGAATATTATAAGTGGGGATTTGCCACCAAGTTCAAGAGAAACTTTCTTTAAGTTGCTCGCAGCACTAGAGAAAAATAAATGGGAAATGAGCATTTAGTGTCTCTCTCTCTCTCTCTCCTTCCACCATAAATTACCACTTGACATGGAAAACATAATTGAGCCTCAGAAACATTCAGAAACTTATGCAAAGACAAAGCATGAATGGTTGAATGGTGATAATTGTTGAAGCTGGGTGGTGAGCACATGGAAGTTCATTATCCTATTCATGTGCTTTGAATATATGAGAAATTTTCCATAATGAACTTTTTGTTTTAAATTCTGTGGAAAATGACTAGCGATCCTTATAGGTAAATTCAGATTATTTAGGTATACTAATTTTGGTTACATAAAGGCCTGGCAAGGAATTTAGCCTCAAACCAGATTACTGGAGCATTGGAAAAAATATATATAAATATAGATTTTTTCGAAGTAAATTATTTATTTTCCCTTTCTTGCAGAAGTACTATTTAAAACATTTTTAAATTTTAAAGAAATGCAGAAAGAAGGGAAAGAAATCAATTCCATGGCTCAATTACTTTTTTTTTTAACCATTTTGATATAGTTTTTTCTGGTCTGTGCCCAACCATAGCCTTTGCCTTATTTAACATAGTTGGGAATCACCCAATATATACAATTTATAGCTTATTTTCCTTTCCATTTACCATTTTAACAACACTTCTCACTGTTATTAAAATGTTCCATGAACATGAGTGCACAGTATTCTGTTATGTTGACTTCCTTTAACCATTGCTTTATTTTTAACATTTAGATTAATTGCAATGAAAAATTTTAAAAATATGTTTTTATTGATTTCAGATAGAGGAATGGAAAGGGAGAGATGGACACATCGAGGAGGAGAGCAAATCATCAACTGGCTGCCTCCTGCACACCCCCTACTGGGGATCGAGCCCACAACCTGGGTATGTGCCCTGACCCGGAATGGAGCCAGCGTAAGAAGATACTCAAGCAACCGAGCCACACTAGCCCGGGAGATTATTTGTAATTTTTTAACTGTTATTAAAATGTTCCATGAACATGAGTGCACAGTATTCTGTTATGTTGACTTCCTTTAACCATTGCTTTATTTTTAACATTTAGATTAATTGCAATGAAAAATTTTAAAAATATGTTTTTATTGATTTCAGATAGAGGAATGGAAAGGGAGAGATGGGCACATCGAGGAGGAGAGCAAATCATCAACGGGCTGCCTCCTGCACGCCCCCTACAGGGGATCGAGCCCGCAACCCCGGGCATGTGCCCTGACCAGGAATTGAACAGTGACCTCCTGGTTCCTAGGTCGATACTCAACCACTGAGCTACACTGGCTGGGCAGGTTATTTGAAAATTTTATTTTTAATTTTTAAAAATATGTTTTTATTGATTTTTGTTAGAGAAAGAAGAAGGGAGAGGGAGAGGGAGAGAGAGAAATATCAATGTGAAAGAGGAACATCAAGTGGTTTCCTCCTGCATACACCTCGACCAGGGACCGGGGATCAAACCCATAACCTGGGTATGTGCCCTGACCCAGAATGGAGCCAGCATAAGATGATACTCAAGCAACCAAGCCACACTAGCCCAGGAGATTATTTGTAATTTTTTTAAAAAAACAATGTTACTGCTTTTTAGAAATTTATTTTATTAATCATCCAGATTTGGGTCATTTATATGTCTTTTTGGTTTCTTACTTATGCTCGAAAAACAATTTGGGCCACAGATCTAGTACAGAAAATATTTTGTGCTGGATTGTTAAAGCTGCCAGTCGGGTGTAGAATTTCACTATGGCTCTAGTTTTATTGACTGTGGGCTTTTCCACTTTGGAAGGTATTTTATTATACTCACACAGGTCAATGCCCTGCAGTGATAAGTAGATTTCTCTTCTAAATCTGATGTGATTTTTCTTCCTCCCAAAGCACCCTATTCCAAGAAGCAAA